GAGGTGAGCGATGTGACGAAGCAGCCGCGGAAATGGGAACGCCCCACTGTCTCGCGAGCACCGGCGTTTGCTTCCGACATGGTGCCGAAGGAGATGTCCTCCCATGGGAGCTTCAACGACGTAATGTCACGGGCTAAAGATGCACATTCACTTGATCTGCAGGGGTCAATGACTGAGTCGCGATGCATAGATGGTCTCGCGATACATCCATGGGGTAAATTGGGGTAAGGTATTCCTGTCGCGATGCATTTGGTCTCGCTCAAGGACCCAGGGCCAAGCGCCCATGGCAAAGCGTTCGATGGAAAAATGGGTTTGCGTAAGTGGGTACTCTACCATCCCTCCAACAAACATATGGAAGTTGAACCGAACCTACCTGCTTTTGGCCAATTGGGACAACGGGCAAGGGTTAGAGTGGGCAGACTGCTTGCCAATTTGTGGCACCGCCCATTCAGATGCGGACCTGAGATGTCGTCCGTCCCTAGTAAAACAATGTAGTAATAAGAACAAGTATGACTTGTCATTTCCAACATGGAACTCTTTGATTTATAGAAACAAATGGTGGTATGTCATCATGAAGTAGTTCTGGTACCTTATTAACATCATATTTCATATATGTGTCGCTTGCGCACCCTTTCCAGCCTCGCTTTAGCTTGCCCAGGCCTTGGTCGCTCCGTGACCGCCACGGTGCGACCCGTTGAGCATCGGGACGGGTGCGTCGGGGCTGACGGTGGACGGTGCGACCCGGTGCTTCGGGGGACGGGTTTTCCTCAAGAAGTGCACACAGCCTGAAGAAGTGAACCTTCAGATGGATGAACGGAGAAATGAATGGACATCCAATTGCTTGGAGGATTTGGGGGGGCACTTGTTTTTAGGGTGTTCCAAGATGAAATGCCTCCAAAGTCCTGATCCTGATCGATTAGCATAGATAGAGCAAGAATGTCCATGCCTTTGTATCAAGAATTCTGGTGTGTCTTATGGCGCAGAAGCCTTCGGAAGCACTCTGACCAACTCTTTAAGAGTTTTCAAGTCACATGAGCTGGGATTGACCTTGTTGGAGATGTTTTCAGGCCAATCATGGGGGACCATCCCGGAACCCTTCGGAACCCTTTCACGACCGGGCGTGACCCTCACTTGGCGTGGCCAGGAAGGCTGATGTGGTACAGCACATCGCGCGACCGGCGTGTATAGCAGCCAGTACTTGCCCTGAGCACCCATGCCGATGGAGCTACAGATCCTTCTCAGAACAATTCTTTAGGATGAAAAAACCCACAGATCCGTCGTCTTCTTGTCGTCTTCTTGTTGCTTGTTCCTAAGTACCCGGGCCCGTAAGAAGGTGAACCAAAGACACGTGTCGACGGTCGAATTCATCAACATGACCGTTGCATCCGTCTTTGAAATGTCCTGACCCGCCGTCACTGTAGCCGTCACCACAGCGCTCCCCTAAAAGATGGTCGCGATTTGGCCGATCGTCGAAGTGCGGTTGACGTGGCATATCTTAGTGATATATTATTTGACATATCATAGTGATATTGTGCTTTTGGAGGTGGATTATGAATAGACTCTAGTGACTATAGTGACTGGATAATCAAATAATGTCCTCGTTGTGTGGACCACCAGCGGTCGCCGACAGGATCCAACACCGATTTACCTCGCGATGGAATCTCGATCTTCAGTGAAGAGGATGTTTGAAACAGTATCGATGTATCATGCTTCATCATGCTTCCAAGATTTGCCAGACACATCACAACGACCCATCTAAGCGCATTTATGAGACCCAGACCATCCATGTATGGAATAACTATGGATAATACATGGAGTATATAAATGTATGTATATAACAATTCCATACAACGATGGTTTGGGACACCTGGACACCTGGCGTCATATTAGGTTCCCATAGCGGATCCCTGCTAACTGTGTCATCACTCCGGGACGATAGGTCGTTTCCTCAATCGATTTGTCTCCAAGAAGACATGGGGGGGCGCACTTCGTTTATGATTCCAGGGGAGCTCTTACACAGGCAAGAGGCTGAGTTCTTTGAACACCAGGCGCAAATGGAAATGCAACATGGAGGTGTTACCTTCCCCCACACTAAGGCACCACCCAAGAGGAAAACACTGAGTCTCGCCCGCCCCAACCCTGTGCATCCCCAGTCCTTTTGCTCTGGAAACACCCTGGTTGATGTGCCGAAGGCACGGAAGTTGAGAGGTTACATTGTGGATCTCAGTGGTTTTTTATCCACTTCGACTGCACCGAATTTTCTTGCTTCTATGGTTCTGCCATTGGTGCCGTGCACGGGGCGAGGGTCGTGCGATCGAGTACAACGATCAAGGACCCCCGAAGGCCTGTGGAATCTATGACCCGTTCCCAGCTCGGAGTGACCAACTCTGGTGGAGATGAAGAAATCTAGATAGCTATTAGTGGTAGCTTCTTGTTCCTATAGAGATGGCCTCCACCTAGTAGCTTCTAGCTACTAGGAGCCATGATGCCTACCCAGGAAGTACGTGGATAACCTGCAACACTTGTTTTGGGGGGATTGGTTTCCCCACTAAATATGAGCAGACGTTGGGGGTGTCCCGGTGTAACAGTCGGGCCCGACAAGAACAGGCGAGAGACCCAATCTAGATGAGCCGAGCGACGGTGGTTTTGTGTGCGTTTCTTTGGCACCTCCTTGACTTTTTGGTGTCTATGCCACCCGAAGCTGTCAATGCTGGATCATGAAGGATAGTTACAGGGTCCTGAAAAGTATCATGGTGGACATGGCAGTTTCCCAAGCTCTGGGGTTCTGGGGTTCGGTTTGAAGATCTATTGTGGCCATTTGAAAGGGACATCATGTCATGTCACCACCCCCCCAACATGGAGTTGTTTTTCCTTACCTCAGGTGCATTGTGTGCACCTTTGGTCTCTAAGTTGACACCTAATTGGAGAATCGAGGCTACTCGCCCAATTGCCGAAGTTGTGGCTGGATTTCTTAGGACAGATTCGATGCGCTCGCCGCCGGGAATGGTCTGGGTTCGGCAGCATCGTTTGAACGGAGGGTGCGACACTACGATGCCTGCTGCACAGTGTCTCAGAGAAAAACGCAGACACAGCTCGATGAACATCATCCTTTCTGGATTGGTCAGACATGCCATGTGTGATTAAACTTGGTGACTCAGTGGTGGTTTCTAATATATGAACCGTTACTTGGGATTGATCCGCCTGAGTAATATGTTTAAAGTGAGTTAAAACCAGAATAGAGTCACACAACCCCATGGAGAATTACTTCATCCATTGCTGGGAGAACTTTGCTTACTGTGTCCAGAACCGGAGCCAAATTCCGTGGGGGGTTGTATTACTGTATTGGGGGTTGTATTGCTGTTCACTTCAGATCTACAGTAATCGTGTCATCTTGAATCGATATTTCATGTGTCCTGACCAACACTTATATAGTAGGTCAAGTCTTCCATAGGCCTATGTCCTTTATGCCCAGAAGTATGATGAAGTATTGACAAACAAACAAGATCTTGTCTAAGTGACATTTCGATTGAGAGACTGGGCAGTGCGCACGACCTGCGCAGGGGCTACACTTCCGCGTGATTTTTGGTCGCTTCGAAGAAAGTCGCGAGGAGCCGTCTACGCGGCTCGATGGATTTATTGGTACCCTCCATCAAGCCACATGGGACAGCCAATCTGTTGTTGGGGAATTTTGCTATCGTATCTGCTCAAGCCACATGCGACAACCTACGCCTATCATATCCTATCATTGAAGATTTAGGTGTAGTTCCGTGTTTGTCATCCATTTTCATTCACCAGATGCGTTGGAATTCGATGCAGGCCAATCCAGTGGAAGAAAGCACACGTTGGAGAAGGTGTTTGAGGTGGGTTTGGAGGGTCCAAATACCTTTTGAAGATGCACTTGGAGTCGTAGGGAAGTATTATTAGCCAGCCTTCCGAAGGGTAGGGACGAAATCATCGACCACGCCAGACTCCACTCATCCTACATAGATAACATACGATTCCACATGACTGAGTGGGGTTTCTTGCGATTCTAATCCAAAGGTCCCTATGCACTCAACTGTAGCAAGCACCCTCAGACAACCAGAGTCTTTAGCTTTGGCCCTGCAGGCGACGGTCAAACCGCCTTCGTCTCCGACGTCTCCGTGACACCACTCTGAGTCTCCGACGTGCTGCGTCAAGGATCATGGTCTTGACCCACAGCCATATCACCATAGATCACCATATATCACCTATTGCTTCCTTCCTGCAGCCTGCAACCGAGGCTTGATGAATCACGTGCTCAGTGCTCCAAATGTTGCAAGCATCTAGCTTGCACTGCAGGTGGTAGTGGCTGCATCATGAGCACTTTTGGAACGGTGAATAACTTCCAAGGAACACTATGCATGCTTTTAAAAGCTACCCAGAACTCAGCTATAGTGCGTTCTTGTATCATTTTATTTAGAGTAGGACCCTCCAAGGACCCCCCAGGAAATGTTCAGCTCGTGAGGGAGGGTATGTTGCCATGACCGATCGACGCTGCCGTTGATGGATTTTGGTTCGATGGACAGCTGCTCCAGGTTCCCACTGGACCCTTCGAACATGACCTACAAAGAACGCCATGCTGCAAAGGGCAGCAAAGTCATACAGCCCAACATTCCGCTGGAAGTGGATACAACAAGAGGTTTCTTATATATAGTATATTCTTGCAGCTAAGCCCTCTGAGAATGAGAAGACCAAAGCCTTGTTTGTGCTTGGTTCGTTGAGAAATTGGCCCATTCGGACACATGCTTGGTGAAACGGCACCCTGTTCATCATATACACGGTTCGGAATATTCTTATAACTATATATTTAGTGATTCTACGCTGCACTGCAGCTGAGAATAGAGAAGAGGTCCACCACAAGACCGCGGGGTCCACCCCGGTGAAATCGCAGACTAGGCTGACTAGCCTGACTAGGATATTGGGATATGTTCAATGAAATCAGGCCTCCGAAGCTAACCAGCTCCGAACTGCAATGAGCCATGCTGCCATGCTCTGCGATGCTCTTCCTGTGGCTTTGCTTGACAAAGGCCGGGATGCGGGAGGCAGAACTAGCAATCCCCTAGGATGCAGAGGGAAAGGAGTAAACAACCAACAAGTATGGTGTTCTACGAGTTTGGGAGGAGAAAGGAAGCGTTCAATGGCCATGGCAAGCCTTCAAAAGGGTGGACAGCGACGTCCCAGTCGAAGTCCAAACTGAACAAACCCACACCCTGGCCAGCAGCTGGAGCTGGCCAGCTGGAAAAAAACATGTGATCCCATGGAAGCCCGCTAGCGATCTGCGGATCCGCCTCGTCAGATTCAGCTGGCCATCACTCGGCCGAGTCCCTACACGTGGGTGCCACAGAAGCGGGAGGCCGGGACCAAGGGGGGGGCGCTTTGCATCGGATTTTTTGAGGTGTGTTCGGTTTTTGGTGGTTTTGTGGAGGTCAAGGGTTGGATCTGGCACCTAGACGTGTTGGAACATGGTATAGTCCTGGTATAGATGCACTCCCACAGAAGCTGTTCTGAGATTGGAAGATTCAATGAAGATGTCTAGTACAGTATGGTACTTGTATATACACAAAGACCAGATAGTGACCTGTCAGTTATGTGTATAAGTAGAAAGGCACTGATTGCATTTGATTGCCCTGTTTTCGCCAGTAGCTGGGAAGTCTTACGCATGTCGCTAGTATGTGGACCGAGAGAAATTTATGTCCAAGGCTTTGGTGGCAAATTTTGTCAATCAATCAACAAGTGCAATATTTAGTCCAAGTTGTTCCCTCCCAATCCTTGCCAGATAAAGACATAAAGACTCTTGCATGGGTGAGCCTTTGACATTTAACCATGTGAGTTGATTCACTTCCGATCATCACAAGATCCAGTGCCCAGGGAACAAAGAGCAGGTTCAGACGAGGGATCCACCGCAGGGTCCATGTTGAAGAGATCATCAGTCATTTGAGTCGAGCCGGGGGCGAAGGTCATTAGCGTCCGCACGAAGAAAATGGCGGTTTTTGAGATGATGCTAACTTCGAAGAAGATGCCGACTTTCCCCTTTGTGGTTGGAAGGAGCAAGTGAGCTGACACTTGAATTGGACGAATTCCTAAATTCGACCCTTGCTTGAATGATCCATGGGGAGACCATTTCTTCCAACGGGTGCTTGGTTTGCGTGTGTTGGTTTGCTTCAGCCTTTGGTCTTTGCCTGGGTTTTCAGGGTGACAACCTACCGCTATACGCGGTAGGGACTCCGGATTCACATCCCTTGGACTCCGGGCTTCTTCACCTGGATCTGGTCTGGCCGCTCCCACCGGCACCGCCGTCGCTCGCAGCGGCGAGGCGGAGTTCGGCCCCATCTACGCGCACACGGCGCTCATGAACTTCCGTCAGGAGATCTTCCTCATCGCCGGAGCACGCCACGAAGGTGTCTGAAACACCGACGCGACGGGGGCGAGGAGGTCGGGTCGGCCATCCACCCCTGTGGGTAGTTCCAAGAGGCCACCAGGCGGCCACCAGAGTCTCGTGGGGTGTATGGTAGACACATGTCTTTTTGAGGAATTGACCAAGTAGTAAGGAGGTCCCGCTGCCATAGACCCCGCGGGTTTTGGAAAAAAGACAGTGACTGGCCTTTGCTGCAGGCAACCTCTCAGATGAAGTGTGGCGGAGTGATGACAAGGCAGGGAGATAGCGTGAGACTGACCGTGTGGAAAACCCTGGGTGTTCATCCGAACATGTACATTGTACATCTGGTGGCGGGATCAATTCACCATTTCAGTGCATGTTCCATGAGCGAGTTTGTGACATGCCTATCCATGGCAGGAGGGGGTGGAGTTCTTGAGCTCGTTTGCTAATTGATTATTCTTCAATTGAAGCCCTTTACTGACCCGTTGAGTCTTCCGACAACATAAGTGTTCCAGAAGCGAAAGACTCCCCGGCCGAATCAAGCCTTCCCAAGGGCCTAGTCTAGGGTGCTGGTATTATCATTGGTATTTCCAAGGCATCTAAGGGCCGCCTTGGTCGGCTGCTTGGAAGTTGCCAAAATGAACCAGCAACAGGACACAAGTATGGCAAACTTTACAAACCCATCGGGGACGGTTTCAGGGCAATCCTAGGTCCATCGACATACATAGCCCCGAAAACGCCGCTGCCACGGCAGCTGCCTCGCGAGAGCACGCCACACGTCGCCTGCTATGCCACAGGGGAAGACATGGCAGTTCCTGGTACCACGCTCGAAGCGCTTCAATGCCAGGCCAAGCCCGAGCTTCGATCAGTAGTGGCGACGACTGGTAGTGAACCAGGTCCTCTTTGAAACCAACAGTCATGAAGCACAGGTCCTGTATGGCCTTTCTAAGATTTGCTAAGGGAACAGGTGTTTGCCATGGGCTTGGCAAGCCCCTTGCAAAGGTGTTTTCTGTTTCGACTGGGAAGAAAGCCTTAGTTTGATACTTGTCTTGGTGGATGGTCGCATCCAATGAATGAGACACTTTAACCTGGTCCTACCCTCTCACACACACACACACACTCTGACATTGGTTTTCAGTTAGCTCAATTCCCACGTCGAGAAGGAAGGTGAGTGAACGGAAAGGCGCATGAGTCAGCAAAACCGTATTGTTGAACAAGTGTTTCTCAAAACGCTCAAGTGAAAGCGGCGATCAGCTGCGGCAAAACGCGGCAGGAAAGGGTTTAGGGAGATAGCATGCAGGAACCACCATGAATCAAACCGAGAGTGGAACAGCTTGAGCAAACGTTTCAGTAGCAGGTACACGGAAGTGATCAGCTTCCGCTTCCTAGGATCTTGCAAAGAGCTTCGTTGAGCAGAGCTTTGCAAGTCCTCTCTGCCCCCCTGCTTGGAAACATCGGAACCCTTAGGGACAGGGGTTGACACACACACACACACACACACACACACACACGGTGCGTCTTTGCGGCGCTCGTGCGGGGAACCTGAATAGATACCTAAAAAGCCTTAGAAGCAACAGAAAGAAACACAGAAAGAGCAGCGCTAAGAGGGCAAGAGAGAAAGATAGGAGTAGAAAAAAGGCGAGTACTTAGCCCTTGACTGGGGCAGGGAAACGAGCCTCAAGAACAACCTAAAAAGCCTGAGAGAAAGCCCAAGAAACGACCGAAAGCGTAAGAAAGAGAGGGGGGGGGCAGGGAGGGGGTGTATGTAGCATGTGTGTGTCCATGTGTGTGTATGACTGCTTAGCACTCTAGAGTTACTGACTACTTAGCAGAAGCGAACTAAGTGCAATAGTTAGGGAGCGGGACTTTAGTCTTAGACCGCCCGGGTAGAGAAGACAAGAACAGGGACAACAAAGGGAAAGGCACCGACACACAAGTGTGTCGAGTACCATTTCCCTGTGTTACCCCAATTAGGTAGGGAGTAGAACTCGGCGGGGGGGGGGTTGGGAAAACATGCCTGGCCTCAAGTGGAAATGAATTCCGTTTTTTAGCCCGGCGGCCGTGGCGGCATGCCGTGTAAGCCCGACGGCTCTTAATGCAGTTAATCCAGTGGTGAAAAGGAATCGGTTAAGAGAATCCAACAAATGGTGGAAACGAAGAAGCTGTTAGTGAATTTTCAGCATGGCTTCGGCGCCCCAGTGACGGGGATCACACACAGCACCCAAGTGGGACGGCTGAGCGGTTCACACTCTGACATTGGTTTTCAGTTAGCTCAATTCCCACGTCGAGAAGGAAGGTGAGTGAACGGAAAGGCGCATGAGTCAGCAAAACCGTATTGTTGAACAAGTGTTTCTCAAAACGCTCAAGTGAAAGCGGCGATCAGCTGCGGCAAAACGCGGCAGGAAAGGGTTTAGGGAGATAGCATGCAGGAACCACCATGAATCAAACCGAGAGTGGAACAGCTTGAGCAAACGTTTCAGTAGCAGGTACATGGAAGTGATCAGCTTCCGCTTCCTAGGATCTTGCAAAGAGCTTCGTTGGGCAGAGCTTTGCAAGTCCTCTCTGCCCCCCTGCTTGGAAACATCGGAACCCTTAGGGACAGGGGTTGACACGCACACACACACACACACTTTCAGGCACAATCCACAGACTACAACTTCAACTCTAAATCTACCTTCACGAGTAGCCTGGAAAGCAACACTGTACCCAGTAGAGAATGAATTTGAGGTTATTTTCAACCCATCGGGTCTCCACAGGGCCAGCTATATATTTTCATTTTGCTTCACCTGTCGCATCCAAGAACAGAATACTAGACTTTATGTAATATGCCTAAAAAACCAATTGTTGTTTCCAAATGCAAATTGTTTAAAGCTCATGTCATACATGTGTGTATATCACTTAATGAATGTGCTATTAAAAGTTACACTAAAGTATTGTTTGCTCTAGTACTTGCCGAGTGCACTAGTGCCTAGTCCTGTGAGGGATAGGTTTCGGTCGGTCAAAGACCGTTCAGAAGGCCTCTTCGAGTGAAGCAAAGCGTTAAATTCCACTTAAACCATCTTCCTTACCCAAAAATCGGCCTCTTGCCAGCAAAGACAACATCTAAGAACTTGACTAAGGGGAAAACAATTAGACCAAATATGTGGTTCACTGTGGGTTCACCTTTCGGCAACTGAAAACCAAGAGGGGACTCCTTTTCGTTCGTTCCGGTGGTTTTTTTCCACGTTTGCGATCGAGGCGCGGTCATGCCTCAGTGGTCGACCATGAAGGAGTGATCTTCTTCGCTGGGGCACACGGTGAGATTGCAAGTGGTGGTGTGTTATGCATGGAACACGTGGGTATCAAGGTAGCGCAGTTGGAACCTGGGGATGGGTCACTTTTCACCTGGAGCCCTGATCAGTCCACCATGTAGCGACGGACAGGTAGGTCAGCCAAGGTATGCTGGTGCCATGACCCGTAGCCACTGCGCACTACCTTAGTCTTTTTGAGGGCTGCCTCTACATCCTCAGAAAGGGATTGGTATTTTTTCTGTGCATTTCTATGCATTTCTTCAGCGAACCTGGAGGTGTTTTATCCAACTCAAAAACATAATACTTTCTTTTGGATATGTTTAAAGGGAGTTCGATTAATGAATTCCATGTTGCCCTGCCCAAGAAGATCATATACGGAAAGCATCAGACTCCCAGATGGAAGAAGTTTGTATGGGCAATTGCTATGACATGGAGGTCAGATTGCAGGTGTAGACACGCCTCTAGCTGACCGCAACCACTGCAACTTGCAATGCTGGTTGAAAAGAGCCCAATAGCACAGTAGAGTTGGTTAGAGAGTTAGAGGAATTCCGGCAATGTCCAATGTTTTGAGTGCAGTCCGAAGGACATGTCACTCATGATCAGTAAAATTGTACATCCTACTCCTCCTGCGGCTTTGACAAACAACTACTAGTATTTGATTCAGTTTAACAATCCCACAGACAGATGGGCCACAGTGTGAGCCGGTCAACAGCCCACAGGGACTCTTCACTTGCAAGCACTGATTGAATATGCCACTTCATGCAAAACAACACACTCTATCCCTGTAACCTACAGGCAAATTTGTTTCGACGACCTATATGGGAAAGAAACTGAGGTCATGGGTGGCTTCCATGGAAACTCCGAGGTGGGCAATGATTGCCGCTGGAAGGTCAAGAAGGGGTGGAAGAAGGGATGGAAAGGCTCCCACCGATGAGCCTGTGGACCCCAGTTGATCACGCGAAACCGGGAGCCATTCGTTAAGCAAGTTGTTTGCCGGGGTTGTGTTTTGCCAGATTTTGCGAGCTACGCATTTGGCTGGTGCAGACACTTTTGCTGCGCCCAAAAGGTGCCCAAGTATATAAATTGGCTGGCGAAGCACCCCACATGATTGCGCAGACCTTTGCGGCTTGACATGGCTTGACTGATTCATGCAGAATTTGTACAGGGACTGCTGGTGAGGAACTGAAAGCTGCATATTTGTGCATGAATTGGTAGTTGAATTCTTTGCTAGAAACTCCGAGCTGTATTGACATGTTCAATACATTGCAAACTGATGATGAACACGCGCGAAGCCCTGCCCTCCTTTGATGTCAGCTTCCAGGGGAAAGAATTTTGGAGACATCTGTTCATTTCCAAGTAGTGGGATGACCACATGACGGTTGGGTTCCTTTACTAAAGGGACAATCAGAAAACTCATGGAGATGTATTTGGGTTCCATGATGGTTGGGTGTATGTATATATGTCTACACCCTGGAAGACGATCCCATGGACCCTGAAAACCACTGGTTGGTAGAGGAAGACCATCTTCCAGGGGGGCCAGACAGCCAGGGTCCATGTTAGTTTACGGAAGTGTAAGTCTTCCAAGCGAACCGTCGCTCGGTGACGCCCGGCAAATCCATCATCCCCACGAGTCACCCCGAGGTTGGAGCAGCGAGGATGGTGCGGTGTGGCACTTCTTGGGTCATGCGCCCTGGAGCGGCCGTCATGGCCATGCTGCAGCGGCTTGGTGGGCACATCGTTGGTGGGGGGGGTGGGCGTTGAAAATGGGTTCCTGCGAATCGGTTGAAGCTATGTTTTGTTCTTTAATGCAAGTGTCGCATGTTTCTGGGTTTGGATAGGTTTGAAGGGTTCCTGCAGTGACTAGTATGTGACTAGTATGTGACCTTAAAAGTTTGGATCAGGATGGACCCGGTGATGTTCTTCATGAGCCAATTGACCATTTTGCCCATTTGTATCCATTTGTCACTTCTCTCAACTCCTCTCCTTCTGCTCCACCGCCAAAAGAAGATATCTAGAACACAGAGTCCCCTTGGAACATGTGTTGGAGGACCCATCATTACTTTAAATCGGATACATTTTTGAGGTTTGTTGAGAGACCCAAATACCAACAACGTACACGTCAGGTTTTGGAATTGTGCTAAGCAGCGAAGCTAGATGCCATCACAAGACTTGTACACAGTACATGTGTTCTATTCTCATGTTCGAGATCGGCTTTAATGCACCGTTCTGGGTTGGGAGGTTTGTGGGGCAAATCTGCACGGTTTCACCGGTGGACCGGAGACGAGGTCATCACTTCGAAGAGCTGCTGGACAGCACCGAAAAACGACCGGGCCGGCCGTGGCGTAGGTCGGACGCCGTTTGCGGGGGGGTCGGAGCGGTGGTTCGAGTTCCTCGGATTTGGAGGAGGGAAAGGGAAAGTGAACGGCTCGCGGGCAATCTCTTTGGAGGATCATCTTCTGCAAGGAACCAAAAGATCAGGAAATCTTTGGAATATACTGTATATATATATATATGTATTACAACCACAACATATTATATAATCCTCTTTTCATGTGTCTTTTAGTTATAGTTGATCAGGAGTAGTCAAGCGTCAAGAGTCTACATTAGAGTGGTGAGGATTTTCTTGCTGTGATCAGCCTCCTCTATTGCACCTTGAACATCTAGACATTTGGCTGTTTAACGAGGGAACGGTAGCGGGAACGCTTTCTTGGAGAGCGGACGTCAAGAGCAGACGTGATATGTGCCCACTCATCCCACCCCCGTGATGTGACCAAATGATGGGTGTCCACTGGAGATCCGGATCACACAACCATGGTCACCACCTCTGAATTTACTTTCAACGAAGGAACGACCCGAAGGCCATCCCTTTGCATGGCTTTATTTGGCCCAAAAGAGGAGCAACACCTTCCAGGAATTCCAGGAATCGGGGTGGCTCTTAATAGGTGCAGCCCTGAACATCCGCTCACTGCACAACTTCCACACACCTATATGAAAAGCGTGTTAGCAGCTGTCTTGAAGAGCCTGGGACCTGTCCTCTCCGGCTGCGCCGCTTTGGCTCAGGTTGGATCGTGGTGCTGGGAGGTCATGACAACCGGAAGTATCTCAATGATGTTTGGAAGATCCACCACATCGCGCAGCTTGCTCATTGAGAGAACGAGCCTGCGCGACGCGATCATCATTAGATGGATCAGTGTAGTTTTGAATGGGCAGACCCCCGCAAGTGTAGAGTGGGAAGTGGAAGAAGAAACATGGACCAAAAAGCCATTGGTTGGAGGGTCTCCCTATTCTAAATACCCAGCCCAGCCCATGGCCCGCCCTATCCTTGCCTATTTGAGAGCTGGTGTCCTTCGGAGTTGATCCAGCCTATTTGCTGCTGCCCTCTCCAAGAAAATGGAAGGGGGAAAAGGGATCCAGATGCCATTTATGATCCATGTAGTAGATCTGGATGTTGCTTCATTTTTTGCTCCTAGTTTAATGTTCCTTAATCGTGGTTGAATCCCCCTCAAACGAGCTCCAATCTGACCTGCACCCTCCAAAGTACTTACCCTCAAAATTTTGGACCTTCCAATCGGACCTGGACCCTCTAAAGTACCCTCGAAATTTCGGACCCTAAACCCATAGTAAACCTTAAAACCAGAATACTGGCGATGTCGTACCCACCCATCGCCAGATGGCACACGCGTTCTCCCACCAGGCAGCCGGACACTGGGCAGGGCTACCTGCGAGCCAAATGGGTGGAGGTGGCGCCTGGCGGCGCGCCCTGGTGCCTTTGGCTCAATATAGCATGCTGACTGCGGTTTGTCAATTAGGAGACTGTTTGAACCCGCAATCGCAGCTGCAAGCGTTTGTCTAAGATTGATTTCTTTTCTAGCTGTTGTTTTGGTTTTATGTGCTTGTCCTATCTTCTGTAGTTCATAACAGCCCGAGGTACAAGCCAATTGGATGCATAGATGATCTACCTGATCTACCGCAAAATAGCTATACTTATTGCAGTGTTGTTGTTGTTGTTGTTGTTGTTGCTGTTTTCCCTCGTAACAGAGTCCGCCGCAGAATGACAAGTTTGGTCCGTCCGTCCAAGATGGTACTATTTTTGTTTTGGTTTCTCCAGATGAATCAAGTTGGCTGCTTTCCTCACTAACAATTCTTTTCACACTCAAACCTTCTTCTCGAGATTTCCCGGGTATAATTACACAATGATACACGATGCAGGAGGTAAGCAGGACAGTGCCCTTGGAAGCTAGGTATGGCTTGTAGTTCGATCTTCTCCGTTTCAGAAATCTCCGGAGGGTAGAAGACATGATCAAGACCAAGATGAATAATGAGCTCGGGATGATGATCCAAGCATCAGAAGGAAGAATTCAGGTCTATACTAACGACTCTCATGATGAGCAAAATCATATAAAAGAACACGACATGATGCAGTGAAGATTTGCTCTTGCCCTGAGTCCCCATGGATGGAATGTAATTACCCTGCCTGAATAGCATGGGTTGCCGGTTGGAATACATAGCACCTCGCTTGAAGATTTGGTCAAATATGCAGTATTGTATGAACCATTTATGAACCTGTAGCTCTGATTATTCTGATTATATTTGGGACGAGTTCTTCCCAATTAAACAACAAAACAAGAATGACTATATATACAGTATATGGATGTTCTGGTTGTTGATCCACCTCTTTGATCCCTGCGTCTTAAGATACTGCCTGCACCGAGCGTCTGCGAGGACCGCGCGCTACGGTCACACGACCTTGGTGGACTCCGAGGTATGGAGGGCTCCGGAGCCGGTTCGAACCGCAGACAGACATTGGGGACGTTTGTTCTCGCAGACATTGGGGACCTTCCAACTTCCAACCAATATAGATTTATATTATGTTTAGTTGATTCCTCCCAGAGGTCTCTTGGGTGGGTTCTCCCTATTCTAATCTTACAATATAATACACGTGGACCGCGAGAATGGACCCGGGTTTCGAGCATGTTCCGAATAGCAACGTCCAGTGCTGTCCAGGGGTTGCATCTGGTCCTCAAGGGGAGCGAACTGACGATCTCAGCAGTTCCCCTGTTCGTTGGGTGCCGTTCCCGACCGGAGGGATGAGTAGGGGAGGTGCACCTGTCACCTCCACCCATGCAATGATCCGCAAACAGATAGAAACGGTGTCCATTTTGAGTGGGGATATACTGTTCTATATTTATTTGGGTCTACCAACAAATAGATCACCCCGACATGGAGCTCTTCTTCAAGAGCGAACGGACCACGGTCACTCGACGCAGCCAAGACGGGATGGACTCACCAACTGCGACCAGGCCCGGCAGGTCCAGTGACGAACTGGTCGAACTGGTCTGGTCACCGGTTTTCCATTGGCCACATTGGAGTCTTCCCATCCGAAATGCGGACGAGCACAGGACCGGATCTTCCTGTTGGGAGGCTTCTTCGCGGAGAAGGTCGGGTCACGTGTTTGGTGTTTCATCGGCCAATCCGCCTGCAGATCATTGCAGATCGCTCTCGCCGAATCGATTCCAAACCCTCTAGGAGACGGGGCGAGTTCACTGCTTCAACGACGTGCCTTGGAGATGCGGGCCGGGAGGACTAGGGGAGAACCAGTTTGGAGGAGTACGGTGTACCAGCAGAGGTTAAGTGACCTTACAGGACCCTACTGGAGTACCTCTAGGATAGTCTATAGGGTTCTTCCACCTCTGCTGGTATAGTGTGGATTTTTGGAAGGGACCATGTTGAATCCTACTGGGCTTCTATATATTGTCATGCCATCCGTCTCTCTCTATAAGAGGATTGAGACCCAGATCGAACACTGCAATGGTCCATGCCGGGCCCTCCTTTGCGCGGTATTGGAGGGAGAACACAGGGGAACGAACTAAGGGACATGGGACGAGCTAAAGAGTGATAAACGCATTGGATTTCCCGATGGTGGCTCTCAACTCCGGTGAACCACAGATCGGAAGATATTGGATGTTTATAGATGTTTTTTTCCTGTAGCACTTGGTTCTCCCCATGTATTTAATTTGACATGGCTGCGTGCTTCGCCGGCAAGTCGTTCAAGTCGGGCTGAGACTCGTCTCACGTCTCTTTGAAGCAGAGGACTCATGAGGGCCGCTTCAGTGGCAAGCCGGAGGCTGCTCCAGTTGCCCCCCTCCCCGGCGGAGGTTTGGCGTTCGGAGGATATTGGTGCGACCTGGCACTTGGCACGGGCGCTCATCAGGGGAGGCTTTGTTGGACTCTCATCCGCGGAGTAGGACCATATCCTGGAGGGCTCATGGCCCACATCATCAGGTGGGCCAGAGGTGGGTGCCAGGGGGGGTCAAACCCCCGAACCTGAGGATATGGTTCGAGCCCTAGGGATTGTTGACACAAGACGACCATCTATCGATAATGGAAGAATTCAGGTTTGAAGGCGATGCACAGCTTTTGTTCGGTAAAGTTGGACCACAGCTTGCGAGCTATAGGTACCCTGGACCACCAACCAAAACATGTTTTACTCAGTCCCGGGCAGACTGACATAGAATTGTCTATTAATCAGATCTTTGGAATATCACTTTCGCATGCCCAGGCGGAAAGACAATGAAGAATCCTACTCCCTTGCAGATTAACATGTAACCCCCGGAAAATGGTCTTCCACCAGGCAATTCTCAGGTTCCATGTTAGTTTGCGGCGGGGTAACTTTTTCTCATGCTTCCCCATGTGCTGCAGCGTTTCATGCCGTTTGGAATCACTCTATTTCATCATCGAGTGGGTAGCAGGTCTGCGCTGTTCACCCATTGTTTGTCTTTGAATAATCAACATTGTTCACCTGTCTCAGCTTTGGTTTTAAATACCTCAGTACCCCAAAATCACAATGGCCAGTTCCGCGACTATGGTCGTTTGTATCCATGTTGCTCTGTGTTCATCACATCGATCCTGGCGACGTGGCGACGTGGCGAACCCCACGCCTCCCTACGCCCGATGCGGAAACAACAAATTCACCACGACGCGAGCGTCAGGTGGGCCATGCGCCATGGGCTGGAAGGTACCAACATGCTGCAGCTTGGCACAGCTGCACCTCCTGCGACGCGTTTTGCAACGGTGCGTCGATGCGGTCGACCAGTTGCGCGGCGATCGAGAGGTGGTTTTGGCTTTTGGGGGGGCCTTAACAGGGAAAAGGATGGCGTAGTACAGGAAGCAAGTAGTATACTTTACACAATAAGTAGGTAGTCTAGTGTTTGGTCAGTAGATTTGGATTCATTTCATGACAGAGCTCTGGTGCAGGTTCTATTGGTCACAGGATAGCTTTGTTAAACACTGTCCGCACGCGAAACCCCACAGGGCCAGGACAATGAGATTGGATTCCATGGGTACACCGGTACACCATCCGTTCATTAAGCCAAAAGATTTGGACTCTGGACATGAAAAGACATTCACTCTCTTATAGAGATAAGACTGTGACTTGCAAATGCATATATTCATTGTTCCTTTGAAACATGTTTCGGACCTGTTTTTGTCCAGCCATTATGCGTCGCGCCATCTAAGGCAGTCATTTCCTCACAAGGGATGTTTGTCATAGGCGCCGATGTCCAACCGGGGCTGGAACGATGGCATGATGGGTTTACTACAATAAGGAAGAGTTGTCAGTCTGATGGAAAGATACACTTGCTCGGATCACCAGTGTTGTTTCCTCCCCACCCCCTGTTCATTAAACTGTAGGGCGGGCATCTGAGCGGTTTGATCCGAGTTGTCCTTGATGTTTGTTTGAGCACCACACGCAATGTGGTTGCTAACCGCTAACCCTTTTTCCGTCTCCATCGCCAGAAGTGGCGAGGGACCACGGACCACCCAATTTTCCACGACACTACACTGGAGCTGTTGATGCTAGTTCTTGTCGCTTGTATGGGTTGCGCCATGCCCAAGGCATCGATCTTTTCGGGCGCATGATGCATTAGGCATCCCCATCATGACTTTCTTTTTTGCCTTGGTTGTATTTATTATTGGATTTGTTGCCATCAATGTGATGGTTTTTGACCGCTCCTTTTCACATCAGCAGTCTCAGACACTATGGATGTCTTTTGTGTGTTCTTATCCCTAATCTGTCCTGTTTTCCGCGCCGGAGGGCCAAATGTATTTGTTTGAACATGTGTAGTTTTGCGGTCGCTACGATTGATTGGTCTTCATTCAGTGTCAGCCTCCAGAGCCCAGAGCCTTTGGCCATGTATTTGGTGCCCTGTCCGCGGGTCCATTGACCGGTCCACTTCGGAAGGTCAGATCGTTTTCACATGTGTTCATCATCATCATCATCATCATCATCATCATCATCCTTCTTGACAAACTCCGTCAAACCCAAAGGTGAAGGTTTTGGTTCAGGTCCCCCTGCGGTCCAGGCCCGCGCGGGCGCGGGTCCGTCCAGTTCGGAGGGTCCGTCCCGATGCCCATGTTGATTCTGTACTGGAGTCCATGGATGTAGAAGTTCAGAGTAGATGGCGCTGGACTGCCACAAGTTCTGGTTTCTTCAGGTCTTGCCGAGGGTCTTGTGCTTGTGCTGACTGCATCAGACTGCAAGGGAGACCTGGCCATCTAGGGGAGTTGGACCATACTCTTCAACTGACCAAAAGCATTCAAAGACAAAGAACTGAATGGTCATCACTGCCAGCAGTTCCATGGTGGTGAAGTGGTTTTTCAGTCCCGACAAGTGAGTCAGTAATGAGCACGGAATGGACACTCCTACCCTCCAAGTTTGACACTCAACTCCATGGAACAGGGTGGTTCTGTTGCTCATACCATCTTATGTATGGATCGTATTACCTACCTTGACCTTCAAAACATTACACCTCTTGAATCACCACGGTAAATGCTCCATACATACCAGTACCTTCGAGGTCTCCAATGGAACACCCTACTGGATCTCCAAGGAAGGTCCCTCCCTCGCCGCAGGAGGCCTCTCGGTGGACCTGGAGCGCTTGGGAGACGTTTGGCGCTCCGAAGACCAAGGCGCCCAACGGCCGGCCGCCCGCAACGCCCGTCGCCGCCGTTCGGCCGGGAAGCCCAAACCGCCCCAAGTGATCGGTCAATATGGCAGTCCCATGTGTCGTCTTTGGGGGAAGGCAGAGGGGAACTGCACATGAACACCATGATATGGCACCAGTAAAATGACCGGTTGACCAAAGAACACGGTGGGATTTGGGAGAACAGAGAGCCTATAGATCCTGTAGAATATACCTTACGCACGCTTTCTTTCAATCAAAAGAGCCACGATGGTATGAATATAGTATGGATATTACAACCGGTCTGGACGAGTTCTTCCAAACCAAATGGGCTGGGCGGCTCACAACCATGTTCACCGACCAGTCCACCATTTGCCGCGACCGACGCCGAGTCGGCTTGTTTCGTTTCATCTGACTCAACACATTGCTCCGATGGTAGCGATGCCCGAAAGGCTCCGTTCGTAGCGATGCCCGAAAGGCTCCGTTCGTAGCGTCCTCTACCCGCACCGTTTTCGCGCCTTCGGACTCGGAGGCCGCTCCTGGCGTGAAGTCACCCCAGTGGCCGCATGGCCTGCGCGCTACGAGCACGCGGCTGTCGTCGGGCGCACCCGGCTGAAAGGGGGGGCTGTTTGGGAAGGTGATGTTTTTGGTGCGCCTTATGATTCTTGATGTTCCTCCTGTGGTGAGTTCCCCTCAAAGTGGAATTTCGCAGGGAAGAAAGATGTTGAGAACTTGGTGAGCTGGGATAGATTGGGGAAAGATCATACGATGTTGGGGTTACACCGCAGCAGTCCTATACTATATTAGTTAGCAGCTCAGCTGTTCAATATATAGTTTTTAGGTGAACTGCGGAAGTCCGCATTTACACAATCCTCACATGTTTGTTAAAGCTAGTGTTTTCCCTGGCATCTCAAAGTCGTCAATGCTTCTCTTAGCAGGGTAGACGTGTGGCATTCAGATGCATTTGATTTTGTGACTGGCCATGGTTTGATTGAGTGCACGTGCAGTATTGTATAAGGACGGCAAGTATCACGAGAGATCCTAGTTTCATGAAGATAAGGTTAGATAGATACATTCCTTCCAGATTGTTTTCCTTTTTTTTTCCGGTGAGCTAAGGTCTTATCAGATAAGTTCTATACAAATGTAGTTCCTGGTTCCTCAAGCATAGCTCTTTTTTTCAAGAGCACCTCAGTTCCTGATCCTAAAACATCCAAAGCAAACTGCGGATAGTACTCCTCCTGGCCCTGTCTTTTGCCGAGCAGGTCGACCGAAATGGCACCATGTACGTCGCCTGGCTGCAAAATCATCCTTGGAGAAGAACAAGCATGCAAGGTTGGTGACTTGCACGTTGACCATCATGATGCCTTCTTTGGGCGCCAGGGTTTAATATCAAGGAGCCGGACAGACGAACCTAGCAGGTCTTCCTATGGAACCTGCAAGTGCATATATATACCTGCGTCTCGAAAGGTATCTCTTTCTGAAGGCCTTTCAAAAAAGCCTGGCTCTTGATATGAAAACCTGTCTTTTTGAGAAAGGGGCGTACTCTTTGAAAGGGGCGTACTTTTGACCTAGCCCCTCTTGACACTATGAACATGAAGGATTCCCAAGAGAAGATTTGTATATCTGAGAGTGTTTTTTGAAAGGTTCTGAGGCCCAAGTGTGGGTGGAGCGTTGATGAGCGCTCTTTTTTCCCTCTGGGCTTGATCTGGCCACGTCATGTCCGGGGCCTCAGCACCGATGCAAGGGTGAAGCACATGCAAACTCAACCAAATGAAAATCACATAACCTTTGGCATTTAAATGTATCATGCTTTAAACGTTCAAAATGCTTTTAATATCTGTTAATGCTGCCAGCCTTTGAACGAACCCCTATACTTTACAAGAAATCCTTTGCTTATAGAGAAGAATATCACTGTGCAGGCAGTGTCCATGCACAAAACTGGCACACATGTGTCTGCAGCACTTAATTTTGTTCAAGGTGTGTTGTGCCTTTGTACTGGCATTGAGAAGTGTCAGTGATGTCGGCAAATATCAATGAGGTTCACCTTACATGGGAGAGTTGTGCACAAGTGCGCAGGCTTTTGCGTGACACACACTCCATCTTTGAATTGGAGAAGGGGCAGGACGCCCCGACTATCAATGTCAAGTTTGCATCTCTAAACTCGGAGGTGCTGCTTCCGCTGATGAAGGCCTTGCGTGCTGAGGGCGGGGATGAAGTCCTCATGGTGACAGTCCCAGATTTGGTGCGGGAGAAACTTGGTTTTGAAGCACGCACCCTTTTGATTTGTTGTCCATCCATGAGAGGCTCTAGTTTGGAGAGGGCTTTAGGATGGTTTGCATATACACCTGCATGCGCATATATGTGTGCCTGTCAGAACGCCCAATGCTAATTCGCACTTAGTTGTTATGCTGCACGCTCATCCTGCACTCCAAATAAGGATTAATGAGTTGCACTGGATTAGTGGTCTCTATGGCATTGTGAGCAAGCAGACCGTGAAATTGGATGCATGGGTGGCCAAGAAATGCTGTGTGCTTGTAAAGCGAAAGCTTCAGAGAGGCCAAGCCCCAAGAGCTAGAGGCTTCAGGAACCTCATGGCAGCAGTCTTCCCCGAACGGTTTCAGGATGATGATGGAGGTGATGATGCTGATGATGGTGCTGATGATGAATCTCAAGGCCTGTCTGAAGAGGACAGATGGTTCCAAACAGCCATCTTTCAATTTTTTTAAGGAAAGCATCACCTAGGCGCATCATCTTAAAGTGTTTGTATCAAAAGGGTTCTCGTTTGTTTTCAAGCCTCACAGGAGACAAACAATCTGGAGATGGTTGTTCTTTCAGATGATGAGGCTGATGCTGCTCCAGCACCTGAAGTGAAAAGGGGTGCACCTCCAGATTCCCAACCGCTGTTTGGCGATGAGGAATTGGAACCTGAGGCTCTTTGCGCTGATGCTCCATTGGATGAGCCGATGGAAACGGATGGTGAAGGAAAGGGGACTGAGGACGTCGTCCTTGCTTCTCCAACTGGACTTGACAAAATCGAGGATGCTTCCGAGCAGGAGTTCACTGCTGAGGACAAGAGACAACCTTTGGATGACCCAAAGGCCAATGCCAAATCCCATATGTTCGAAGAAGATGACACGGACTCATTGGCAGTCAAGAAGCTGAAGGAGTATCTGGTAGAACTCCGCCAGAAGCGTGCTGAGAACCTCAACTGCTTGCTTTGGACATGTTTTGGTTGTTGGTCTAGGTTCTCATGCCCCTATAAGAATTGAATTATTGATCAATGTTCTCTGCCTGCAGCAACCCAGGATGATCAAGCGGGCTCCTTCTCGCGCTTCTATGTCCAGTGCATCTGAAGTGATCTATGTTCCGGACACGCTTCCATTTGGAACCGATGTGATTGAGACTCAGGTGGTGCAGGAAGAACATCTTTCAAGTGCTGCTGAGTTCCATAAGTACGAGATCGAGTTGGAGGAGCCCTCTGAGCCAACGGTTACTTTGGCTAGTTCAAAGTCTTTTGGGTTTACTCAGGGATGTTGAACTCCATGCTCTATAGTTGTGTCTTTCCAACCATCGATGTTTGCTGTCGTCTTATTTTGTATGCTTCATCACCCAATGTTGGGGTAAAGGCATATTTGTTCTGTCTGGGCCTGGGCGCCACTTTTTCATTCACACCTGAGGTTTTGCGGCGCCAGCAACTGGGGCTGAAGAACAACATTGCTGAAGGTGGCATGGCTGAAGCTGGAGAGAATGGCAAAAGCAAAAAAAGGCCAGAGCAGAGGACGGGGTAGAGGCAAAGGCAAGGGCAAAGGCAAAGGAAAGGGTGACAGCAAAAGCTGTGAAGAGGAAGAGGGCAAAGAGTCTGATCAACACCATTCTGAAGAAGGTGAGACACGAAAAGAAGAATGCCCCAAAGCAAATGTTCTGGAAGAAAAGGGTGTGGCCAGAGATGATGAAACTACTCCACCAAAGGACGCAGCCAGCCCTGCGCCCAAGGGCAAGCCCAAAAGTAGGGCCCGTGCAAAGGCAAAGTCTCAGGCTGATGGAGTGAAGAAAACTGACAAGAACAAGAAGAGTGTGAAGAATGAAGAAAACCCTGCTGGAACAAGTGAGATTGATGGTGAGCCTGAGAAGATTGATGATCAGCCGGGGCGAAAGCCCTCTGTCGCAGGGGATGATGGAGAAAAGGGGAAAGGCCAAAGCAAACGTTCAAGAGGCAAAGCACACTGTGAAGAAATTGATGCAAAGGCCATTCAAAAATCCAAGAGGCCAAGAGTTGCTAAAGAGGCCAAAGGTTGCCCTGAGGCAGTAGCTGCTGATGGTGAAGCTGCGGCTTCAGAAGCCTCAATGAAGCCTGAGGCGGCAGAATCCAAGAAGCCCAAGAATCCAAAGTGTGCTGAGGGTGAACCACAGCCAAAGCGCAGAAGGTCAAAGGCTGCGAACAAGGTCGAAGGGGATGATGAAGAAAAGAAGGAGGGGGGAGGTTGAACTGAATTCCAAGGTCAACCAGGAAGAGAAGGATGTGATGAAGTCATTCGCTCGACGAGCGAGGCCTACTTCCAATGCGCTTGCCATGGAGAAGTGGGATGCCATCAGGGACATTTTCAATTCTGACCTCCGCCCATGTGTGAACTCCAAAGCTTCGATGCACGAGGACTTTATAGGGGTTTTGCATTTGTTCAATCCTTTTTTTTGCACCCAGCATTCTTTCCAAGTCATATGCAGCGCATTGCATCGTGCTGTTCTATATGCGTTTGAATCAATACCCTGGCAGCATTGTAAACTATAGTTTATGAGACCATGCATGCACGTAAAGTCTGAACACAGCACATTACAAAAGAAAGTTAACACATTGCTTTCTAGAGCTTTCAACTCTTCTGTATTCCTACCCCTGCCAGTACGAGTTCTGGAACCATTGCACTCGAACTTGGAAAGGCAAAGCTGTCGATATTTCCTCTGTGCGGAGTGATGTCGCTCTCCGGGCAGCTGAGTACATGGCACAGCATCTCAAGGCGTCAAGTCAAGGTTGATCGGCAAAGCTGGTTCTTGGCACAGGCGTCGGCTCTTCCCACGCACTTGTTGTTCTCTTGGAACCTATAAGAAGTAGTTTCTTTTTCAACCAAGGACTAATGATTCAGGATGTGTGTGGGTGCAGCTGGTAGTTGGGGTTCGCATGGATCCTAGAAATGGATCCTGTCTTTCACGAGTCAGGGGTATCATTGTCATTTCTTGACATGATGTATTTTTGATGCTGGCTTAGTTTCCATGGTCTTTCTATCAATGGCCAACAGTGTTTGTAAGGACATCCCTGGAAAGACCGGTATCTCCACAACATGTTAAGCTTGATTTGCTCGTTCGGTGGATTGACCTGAGAATGCCAGCATCATATCCTCATCAAGGATTTTGTGCGCATAACATAGGCGCAAGTGACGGAGAAGAAACATCCATTCAAAGCGTGTGCAAACATCGAGCCCAAAACTGTTCTCAAACATAGAACCGAAAAGAAAGATTATAGATCATATACATGGGTTGGGTTGGAGCATCTATCCACAAGCCCCTTCCAAGTTGCCTCCCTCACCTCCCTCCTTCCCAAACACACAAACACTGGCCACTCTCTCTTCTCTTAGGTCTCATGGCGAGGGATGGAGGCGCCGCTTACTTCCTAACGATATCCATGCCAGTCTTGCAGACTCGCTTAACAAAATGTTAGAGTAACAATTGGGTAATTGTCAATTCAAAGCATTGACCTGGAAGTTCATTGTGTGGATGGATTCACGCAAACACATGATTCTTTTTGCACGTGTATCCGTGTATCTGGCTGGCCCAATGAAAGCCATTTTGGGGGGTGGTGTGGCTTATATATCCTTGAACGTATGGCCATACCGCTGGGCAAATCCCACATGCTCGATGATGTGCTGAGAAAGCTCTACGCCAATGGTGCGCCCAAGGCGCATGCCCGAGTCTCTTTCCCTGATCTCCCATTCCTGTCAAGAGTCAAGATTCTCCAATCCATGAGTCCTGCCAAACAGTCGGTTGAGAAGGGACTTTGCATTATTTTGCATCGACGGTTCAAGCTCTTTCCCATATACTTTGATTTCAATATTGAAAGAACTTTAAAAAAACATATGGCTTCCGGCACCGCCTGTCAGATTTTGATGGCTTTGGTGATTCTACTGGCATTGTCGGAGAACGTTGTGATATTCAGTGAGGCGCGCTGGTGCTTATGGGGAGTGCACTAAACTGTTTGCATCATAGCTGGATAGCTGACCTGGAACTAACCCAACCCTGT